CTCAGGGAACCTTGTGAAATCATGGATTGTGCAGTAATTCACCTCCTTTCTATGATTTATAGAGGTGATAGTGACAAGTAGTAATGGTTGCCGTTGAACTCAAAGTGGAAGTAACGAAGTGAGTAGCATGGAAAAAAGAATAAGGAAAACTATCTTGACCCATGTAGTGGGACTTTCACCTCTTCTGGTGAATTCCGAGCGAGTGTCAGCCAGAGTTCGTTTTGCGTATTAGTTCCAATTGCTTGCAACTTTCCGTAAAGCATCATGAAAGTAGCTACATAGCAGCCAAAGTGTGGAAGCTGCAGTTTGGCACTTCAGCGAGGCCTTTGGAAAAGCAAAATATTTTTTGTCAGAAAATTAAAAACACGTATTTGGGGAAAATACGCGGTCTTTTTTTGAATTGGCACGTCAAAAAATTTCGTAATATTCGCACGTGTCTATGCGAAGCGATTCGCTCTCGAACCCACGGAGAAATTAGAGAAAGAGTTTGTTGATGTGGTTGTAGAACTTGACGCTGAATTGATTAGAACAAAATTCTTGGGGCTCTGAAGATGAATGAGTCAGATCTTGACTTGGTCACTTCATGACAGCATTTTTTATGTTTTTATGAGTTTTAGCAGTGATAAAATAGGCGTGCGTAGGATCATCGTCGCGGATAGAAAACCACTGGTTTCGACTAGTTCAGACTATCAAAGAGGACTATTGTAGTCTATAGACTACACACTGCGTTTCATAAATATAGGTCCACCCTAATTTTTTGCTATTCCAAAGTTGCTGTGCATTTTTGGGAAAATGCCGCTATTACCAGTAGTTTCAATATCACGAATACATTCATTATCAATAACGAAAAGCCTGAAAGCTGAATTTCTGAAAAATTTCATTCGGTCTAGAATTACTGAAATATGTCGTATTTTCACCGTTTTGCAAATGTGACTACACATCATTTGTCGAGAAATTTTATTACAATAAAATGAACACGGCAACTTCCCAATAATGGGAGCGTCCTCCATTATTCGTAGGACCTCTTTAATGCGTCTTGGCATGCTCGAAACCAAGATAGCTATCAGATTGGGATCTAAATTGGTCGTAGTGTCGAGAATGGACAGCTTGAGCTCCTCGATCGTCTTACATCGCTTTACTTCGTCGTAGATCTTCTTGACAATAGAAAGCCTAGAAATTCCTCCTTGGATTCATGTCCGGAGAGCATGCCGGCCATTTGAGAACTGCGATATGTTTACTAGCAATCCATCCGACGTGGAGCGACTGACATGGACAGTCGCGTCATCGTGCATAATATCAAAGGAGCGGCGACCGTGTTGTTGAAGAGATGGCGAATGTTGCTCCTACAGCACTCTCTGGTATTCTACGGGATCCATACGACAGGAAACAAAAGCGAGTTCTAGCTGTCCAGCTGCACAAAAGGCGCTCCAACCATGAGAGATTCTCCACCGAAATTACGTCGCTTCAAAACAATGGCGCTTTGCGCAGATCCCTCCAGTACCCTCTTCTGCTGTCAGGTCCGTCTAGATTGAACTTCTTTTCGTCGCTCAAGATCATCTAGAACGTGACATAAGGAAATGGAGCTGAAGACTGCAAAGTGCAAAGTTCTCGAAAATTCAAAAAATTGTTCGGACTCGATATTTGTTTAAGGCCATGACCGTACCTTCTGTATCGTACCATTCTTATGGTATGGGTAACCCGTGAGTTCGACAAAAGCTTGCTTGAGTACACTGCCGAGGGTGCTCCAGAAACAGTGCGCCGAGTAGATTCCCGACTTCATCAGTCCCGACGAATGGCTCTTCAGCTCTTCGAATTGAAGGGATATACTTTTATGTATGTGCCGCCATGGAGATGGAAGCCTGTTTCATCAAGATGATCGTAATGTTTACTCGTCTCCCAGAATTTTCGAGTTAAATTTTAGTTTTTTCGTAATGCCGTTGTGAGATCCGCGATAAGTTGACAAAAAAATCGCTTCCGGCCACACAATTACATAAAGCGGTCGTCAAGCGATTTGATGAAGGCATAGATTCGACCATATTTTGAAAAAAAAACCGTGCAATGTTTTAAGAATTGATGTCTGTTCTTACATGATCTTCTTAAAGTGATTTACGAAAGGTCGTCCAAAAGTGTGAGACGAAATAATGGGTGCACCAGCATACTTGCCCACCGTTAACAACTTCAATTAATACCTTAAAATGAGAATCCCAGAGCTTACAGGCACAACCCAGGCAGTGGTCGTGTGGACGCTTTCCTTCGTCCTACAGCATGGATTTCTGGACAAATCACAAATGTGGCGTTCCCATGCACGGAAACCAACCGACAAGAGCGCTTGGACCTTTGCAAAGTAAGCTGCCCAAGCTGCAGATTTTCTTTCTCATCAGGCTGTCTGGTGCTCTCTCATCTGTAGCGCTCTCTCGCCTCCATACTCTCCTCTTCGCGCTTAGTCTCTCATTCCCTTAGCACAGCCGATTAGGAAGGTGAGTGAGCCCTCAACCTAAGCGTTTTCGACGGATTCTTTTCCTTTTTTCTTCACTGCCGGCCCACTTCGCACCAATACATTCACATTCGTGTGCAAGAGCCACACCAATGTGATCTGGGGCATTGCCTTGAAGTAGCGTTCTATCGAAATCGCAGAACAACGCCAACGTTTCTGTTAACCAATTCCGCCAACTGGAGACATAAAATTTTTGTACTCCTTCTACAATTGTATTTGGCTGCTTGCAATTGTACAATCTATGTACATTTTTGCTGGGATCGCTGTTAGTGTGCTGTGTAAACTTTGAGGTGCTACCCGTGAAGAGCAAAACTAGCTCGATGGCAAACGTGACTGGCTTTTTGCAATGAAATCTCATGTGCTGAGGACGTGACGTTGGATGTGGCAGGGGCATTCGTAGTCGGCAGGCTGGCGAATCAGGTGGTTCTTAGACTGTATTGCATCCCTAGTCTCACGTTGTCCTACACTTGGGTTCAGACAATGAGATCGAATGACGACGATTTTGGGTTCTAGGAAAGTGACTTCTACCTCCATGTGATGCACACATTGTCAATTCTATCCCTTTTCTTGAACTTGTTCGCCTTTTATTGTATTGCCTGTAAGTCAACAAAGCATATGGGCGCTTATAAATGGTATCTACTTGCATACCAAACGGCTTCCCTCGTATACGACGCTGTTTATTCTTTAATTATTTTACCGGTGATATTCTTTCCAATGGCAATGGGTTATCCTGGTTCTTGGATTGCACACTGGCTATCCATCAGCGGTCACGCCGGAGTTATTATGGTGATTTTGACATGCTCGTTGCTTGTTGCCTGTATTCTCAATCTATTCAACTATCGATGTCACCTGGTCACTCCAGCTCATCACTTCTTGAAGATCAACGACAACGGTGAATAAGTTGACAGAGCCATCTGCGCTCCTCTAATCGTGGTCGCATTTCCAGTATCGAACTAATATCCTTAAAGGAATCTTCCACGGAAAGAGTGATCATTTTGTCTTGTGTGTAGGATTAGTATTATCGAAACTAACGCTTATGTTCCGTTCTTTTTGCTATGCTCATGAGGCTAGGGGCCTAAGGTATCGTTTTTCTGTGGTAATGGAGGCGGAGCTTTTTCCGCGGAAGATTCCTTTAAGTGAATTAACACATTCACGACGACGCGTGGTTCCCCGTTTTTTGTCGCGTGGGACGGGACGAGCGAGACTTTGCCACTACCGCCGTCTCATCATACATCCGCGGATTTTGGGTTTTTAAAAGGCCAAAATCTAATTTGTAGAATAATTTCACCAGTTTTGAATGCATAGAAAATATTCAGGGGCATTGTCTCAGATTTCCGAGCCAAATTAAGTGTAATGGCAATGAGATGACAAGATTTATGAATTTGCGCTGCATTGAGCATACTAAGCAAAAGCATTTTTGCCTCGATGTTTCTAGTAGAACGATTGTCTCACCATATTCAAAGGTTTGAAGTGTTTATGACAATATCTGTTTCATTGGATGTTCTTCATCTTCACGATGCGCTACGCGATAAGAAAAGGTGTAAGGAGTAAGATATGTTTGGAGAAGGCAGACAAGGCGTAGGAAATGACAGACAAAAAACCGACCTCACTCCAGTCAGCTCGGCTTCACTTCTTGACAAAACTGTCTCGGTTTTTGAGATGTTTTGTTGTCATAAACAATGCGCTTTACATTTCTCACTCGTGAATGAACTTGCAGTTCTGCCACAGACGCTGAACAGACACCTGTTGGAGAATTAAGTTTCAATAAGGTTTGATTTCCGAGCACAACTTGATGGAACTGTTTGATTTTCTTATGAGGCGGCGTTTATCTGAATCCGAAAGCAAAGAACGATCTCCAAGGCTCAATTTTACTCCATATCCTGCACAATGCTCGAAGAAATTGTTTACTCTAAAGCAAACTTGGCCCGAAATTCGGGCAGTGTGACTGCCTCTCAACTCTTTCACGATTTTTGTTACATTTGCCTTTATTTAAATTATGGACGGTTTCCCTCTCGTTTTCACCTAAAGAAGAAGTGTTGGATAACAATAAAAAGTTTGATCGAGCAGAAAAGAAAAGCAACAAGAAAGTATGGGATACATGTATAACCATAGGTTCGAGTAACTTTTCGAAAAATTGCAGAGGAACTTCTCTGCGATGGAGACTTCTTCGAATACATCTTGGGAGGGAGTTTTACAAATCTGTACGCTCTTGGTATGATTATGCGGAGCAGTGTAGCTGACCAGAAATTGTCGAAGGATGTCTATATGGAGAATTCGAATTTTGAGGTCACATCTATACGAGTCTTGCTTTGACGCTGATATATTTCATTTCGTGTTCAGTTGGCATAATGGATGTATTACCTGATCAAGAAGCGGCTAAAAAATGGGTTTTGGAGGTAGGTTTTTTTGATATTCGCATGCAATTTCAAGTCATATCTTCTAGGTGCTCAATTTTAGATAATTCCAAATATTGACGGCGTGGTGTCTAGCTGGAATCCAGAGAATCTAGTTTTTTCCACAATGCAGGTTTCTACAATTCCTGGTTCTGCGGTATTCATATTATATACATTTTTAGGTATACGTATTCAGTTCCTTAGTATTCACTCAAGCGTACAAATGTACAATAACATGACGCAGTGGGAGCAGAAGAACACGAATGAGCCGATCACCTACATACACTATAATCTGGGGCGAGAACGGCGCTGATCATCCTGCCCCGTGTTAGAACGGAGGGACGTCAAGTTCGAAAACAAATTTATTTGAAAGCATATATAAGAAGATAAAGCTCTGGATGGTTTTATGATTGCCTCCAGAGAAAAAAGCGGTTCGGTTCAGGGAGGAGGCTGTTGTCAATTTAGACGGCAACAACCCAGCCGAATTCTTGCAGAACGAATCCGTTCTCCGTAGGGAAAACTCTAGAGGACATTCGAGATGTGGACATCCCGTAGATGAAAATGACTGAAAAAGTGTGGAGATATGCAAAGTGAAGATGCAGAGCTGCGTTTGCTTTTTACTTTATCATGTGTTGTCGGAACTCACTCATTTGTTGTGCCTCTGGCTCTAGTTCTCCTTATGTTATCGTGAAGTGAGCAAGCTTAACTAAGCTTTTGTCAAAGACTTATCATTTTTTTTACTTCTGGCGAGTTTGCACAAAAGATTCGCGTTCGGTGCTGATCAACATCATTTGATCCTGAAGCCATGCCTCAAATTGTTCGTGTCACAGGCGAAGGTCTTGTGTCTTTCAGATAGGCACTCCTCTGAGATCCATGCGAAAAGCATGAGAAATCCGTCAAGATTACAGCAAAGTAGTACCATTTATTGCCTGATTCATTTCCGCATGAGACGGAGCGGCGAATAAATAAGGAAACTGTACGAATGTGTTAACCCTGCAGCTGTCATCATGCCAATAACACGGTGCTTTGATTGACAAGGCATTGCATAGGCAAGCTTTTGGACACAGCCGCTAAAAGGGAAATGGTCTTCCAAAATGAAAAACCAATAGCAAACAGCAGCTCGCCAAGTCAGCAACTGAATTAGTGGGCGCAACGCCATCGGAACGGAGTGCTTCGGAGTCCTGCTTAGCTACCAGGGTGCATCTTTTGTCCTGAAAGCGCAATTTTTCGCTTTCTGTGCCAGGTGAGCGCTTCGTGTAGCGAATATACTCCCTCTTCCTTATCTAATCAGTTCCTTCAACTGCAGAAGGGGTCAACGCTGATGCACCCCATACTTAGGTATCACCTGCTCTGAATAATACGCTTGAAATTGCCATATGGGTTGGAGTGCTTTTTTTCACATTCGATTCCTCCTCCAGAGCTCGACGGTTAGACGCCATCCCTGCAAAAACAAAGGTTTAGGGTCATATAAACAGGCAATATAGTCAGGGACAAACAATTTTATATGGAAATATATTCTTGAAAGCAATGTGCGAAGAAATAGCTGGGCTTCCGTTTCGTACGTGTCTCTTTTACGGAAGCTCGTGAAATACCCTAGCTCCATGCTTATCAGTAAGGAAGGTAGAAAAAAGGATGAGGACATATGTTAAAGAAATCCGAATATATGTAATACGTGAAGGAGTTGAAAAAGGTGGAAATGTAAGAGAACTTCAAGAGATTTTAAAAATCAAAAAGTTGCCTTCATAATCTATTTGGGCACAATTGTTGTCTGATTTGTTTCGTGTTGTGTAATTGCAACCTTCACTCGTAACTGTCGCCATCAATATCAAGGATGGGAAAAGGGGATTGAAGTTTCGAATAAGTCGCAACTATTTGACTTAGCTCTCGTTTTGGCTAAGTTTCGCCAAGTGAACATATTACTTTTCAAGCCTGAAATATGTATCCAAGCAGGTTTTGGAAAGAAACTGTTAAACTCCAATTTGGAGTGCACTTCATTGTGCTCTCAACACCAAGGTTAGGGAGTAGCAAGGAGATATGGTCCTGAATTAGGGTATGGACATCGTTCCATAGGTCTAAAGGCGTATGAACTTCAGGGTGGACGATCACATGCCATAGATTATGTGGTATGTGCAGAATGTGTGTGATGTAGGGGATGCACCGGTCCTTATTAAATGTACGCTCACAAAAGTCGCTCACCTATACCCTAATCACAGTGGCTCGTGGTAGCCAAAAGAAGTGCTCTACAGCACTTACACGGACGGCACTAGTACTAGTGCGAAAACGATAACTGGGTGGCTCCCAGAAACATAGTTTCACCAGGGAAACATACTTTCTTGGGAGTGATTTCTTTCCAAAAGATATGCATCAGATCCAGTCACGAATAATGTACCGTTATTTCAAAGCCGTTGCCATTTATATTAAGAAAGTTTACCAAGTTGCAATCTCATTATTATTATTAATTTCAGTATTATACGTGCGCTAAACATATTATACATGTTCCACGTCTTACAGTCTTCATGTTAGAAGAAGGGATACGTATTGCTATTACGGTTATCGTACTAGCTGTTGCTGCAACTGTAATTACGGTTATTTGGATAATCCTATCTTTCTATTTCATAAGGAGGAGCGGACAGTTGTCACGAAAAACAAAACAAATGCAGAGACGTTTTCTTATTTACCTTTGTGTACAGGTAAACATCCTAGCCATATTCCGCGGAAGTTTTGCTTAATTTTCGAAAAAAATAGCACACATACATCACAGTGATTGTTTAAATCATGATGGGCAGAGGGGTTACTGTATAGGAGAAAACAGGGAACGGCATATGTGAGCTTTAATTTACATATTGAATGGAAGAGCAGCTGAAGATATTATTCGATCTACATGATCTATACATACGCTGAGGTCAAATCAGAAACTGTGTAGTCAGTGTCAACTATTACATACATTTATCCAACATCACTTGAAGCCTTTCTAATTTTGTGGCCGTTCGAAGGTTTCTCAATTGTATTGCGTCCCATGTACTACACTAGTGTGCAGAACTTGAGGACGAGATGGATAAAGTGGCATATTTTGCTAGAACTTCAATAACATATAAGGGGCTGAGCGAGAGATGCTAAGGCCGTTCAGTCATCGCTTTAATTCTGACGCTACAAATATCAATGCTGTCCAATTCAACTTCTAACCAAGCTTAACACGCAGAACAAGGGACTTGCTTGAAAGCAAGTAAAGAGGGAGCGTAGGGGTCCAAGGGATAGAAGTTACTGTGAATGTACTTGTTTCTTGATTGCAGGTAAGGCTCAGGGACAGTCACGAGATACTCACGGAGATGGACATCACCGGGAACTAGAAGAAGAAGACGTGTTGACGAAATGTGTACACGGAGTTTTGGTATGCCAGCAATGTCATTGTTGCACATGAAAAATCATAGGAACACTGGCCCTCAAAGAGAAGGTGGTGGTCACGAATAGTGGCAACAGCAGGTGATGCTACGTGTTGCAACTGTCAAGAGTTGACCCATCTCAGTCTCAAGCTGCAGTTATGAGCTGTTAAAAACATTCATCACTCTGCAAGGCACGTTATCCTAGCCCGAGCATTGAGCAAGTGCCCGCAAAGGAATGGTCTTCGCAGAGTCAACCCTGCGTTGCGCAGTTCTCAACGGCCACGTTGCGCAGTTTCGCCCGATTAGACACGTTCTCTCGCGCGAACATTCACACTCGCATGCTCGAGCCGTCTGCGTCTCCGCCCATACAGCGTGCGTTGAGGATCTCTCAACGTGCCGTTGCGAACTGCGCAACGCAGGGTTGACTCTGCTTCAACCTTCTAGTTGAGAAGTGCGTAGGATTCTGGCTTACTTCATATAGGATGTATGTAATGCACTCCAGGCCGTCGTTCAACATGATTGTTTTGATAGTCGAGGCGATATGGTATGGGAAGGCGTAAAGTTGCCGGCCGGAGCGTTTAGACCTCCAAACTCGTGATCGCCGATACCCTTGTCTGATCCGCGTTATGCTCGACGTACCTGCTCTTTTGTGTGCAACTTTTCGGGGGTGCGTTCGATCTAAAAACTCCATTAGTGTGACAGACAAATTGCTAGCGCATCAAGCAGCCAAGATGGGAAACCCTTGGAACGTGAGTAACTTCGGCAGAGTGGTTGAGCCTCTCCGCTTCCCTAACTCAAATTCTATGAGACATGTCTGGCATGCATTCAGGTTTGGAAAGCGATCGCAGCGCAGTCTCATGCGCCAACTACTGTACAGCAAATTGTCGACCACAGTTTTTCAAAGGAATGGACTCACTTCTCCACAAGAGCTATCGACCAACCATGTAGCCAGTGTGAGAGTACGAAGCAGAGCATGCTTTGCAGTGAGCAGCCTTTATGCGCCTCATCAAGAGTCACATCCTCCTTTCTGAAGGTGTGCCATAAGTTGGGGTAGCTTCACCTATCAGCAGCTTCGGTCACTGTCCTTTAAGACGTCTCTCCGGTCGCTCTATCGCGAGTTCCTATCAGCAGCTTTCTGCGACAGCTCCTTCAACATTTCCATATGTATGCCAAAATTAGGGTTAGCCAGTGAGATAACATGCGAAAGCTACTTACGTCATTAGTTTTGTACATCAGTCTATTAGAAAACTGTGTATATTTGTTAATTACATCAATTGGGTCCATATTGCAACTACGCAAAATATTTTCCCAACCACACATCCACGTGACTGTTCCTACTTTCCGGTAGTTCATTCTGGGTACTAGTGCCCGCTACCCAACTATCGTAGTTTAGTGTGGTGTAGTGTTTTGAACACTCCTATGAGTGCCCGATCTGTTCCGAAATGAAAGACAAAAAGAAAGTAAAAGAAAACACATAAAAATAGTGTCCACATTAAATCAAGTTGTCGTTATAGGTGGCTATTCCTATGATAAGTATGCTCGTACCGATTTTGATGTTGGTGTATGTTTTCGGGACATTAAGTCAGCCAGGTATATTTGTTATGCCATCCATTCTTCTTTTTCGTATTGGAGCTCATGTCTTGCGTGCAGCCTTAGTCAACTACGAAAAGTGGAAAGAGGTCTCCTACTATCCACTGCCTCCGGTACCTGCTCACCGCAATGTTCTCAATGGAGCATACTGAATCTGAATTTTTGGGTCGCTCCATCATCAGTGCGATGAAGTGGCTAGAAGTGGCTTCAACCAGGAACACAATTATCGCCAAGTGATTGTATTATGTCATTATTATATATTTTATATTATATTATTATATTTTTATATTACGGTGACGCTGTCAATGCCATGCACGACAAGTGTTTGTCGTTCAGGGAAAAGACGATTGTATAGATGCTCTTCAAATCGTTAACAGATGCGGGCACATTCAAGGGCGAAACTCCCAGAAAAGATAAATCGCTTCTGAGAGAAGCTTGCGTCTGTTCGAACAGGTAGAACCCTGCCATTGAGAAGTCTTCCACATTCAGTCCAATATATTCTCTCGTTCATCCCATCTCTTTGGCGCCTCTTCATCCTACAGAAGTCATTCAAAAAAAGTCCACTTCTGCTACTTCTTCTCTATTTTTATGAGCCATTTCGCTCCTCTAGTTTCGTTTCCTCT